GTTAAAAAAAAAAAAATCTCTGTCCACTGAGGGCAGCGAGTGGTTAAGTGCTTGGCCGATGGCACCAGCCACCTGAACCCGAACTCTGGCCGGGTGACTCGGTCGGGACCGCGCCTGGAGCGCCCCACGCCGCAGTCCTTCGGCTGCCAGAACGATCAGGACGACCTCAAACCGGTGCCCGGCACTCGGCAAGTGTCGGATAAACATACACCCTTCTCACTGCGGATCACCGTATCGCCGACCTGCCCACGCCACGGGGACCTACTCCGTGCCCCCGTCCCAGGCCCTGCGAATGCAGACACCCAGCCACCTCAGATGCTGGAGGCGGGAGGGAGGGAGGCCAATAAACCGGGAGACGGTGAGTCAGCGAGAAGGTTCCACGGCGGTAGGTGCCGTGCACAAAGTGTGAACACAGCAGGCCGGGCCTGAGGCTCCTCCTGGCAGATCACCAAACCTGGGCGGGGCCTTGGGGACCCCGACACAGACGCCCTGAGAAAGTGAGACGCGGGCGGGGGGGACGGGGGAAGCCTCCCGGAGAAGGCGGCCCTTGAGAGAGCCCGGGAAGACCTGGAAGGGGGGTGTTCCAGGCGGAGGGAGAGCCGGAGGTGGGTCAGAGCACCCTGGCCCCCGCCCGGCCCCGCCCGGCCGACTCACGCGGTCTCCCTCTCGTCCTCCTCCTGTTCCCGCTTCTGCCTCTCCTCCTCGGACAGGCGGTGCTGCCGCAGCATGGCCTCAAAGTCCACGTGCGCCTGCCGCTGGTTCAGGTCCTTGAGCTCCTGCAGGTTCTCCAGCACCTCCATTTCCAGCTTGGAGTCCTTGGTTCGGTTCTCCAGCACCTGGCGGGCAGGACACGGGCTGCGTGCACCTGCTGGGGCCGTGGGGCTCGGCACCCGCCAGGGAGAGACCCCCACCCCGCCTCCATCCGCAGCGCCCGCTCGGGGGCCTCCCGCCCGAGCTGCACCCGTCTCACAGCTCCGAACACTGAGGCCTGGGCATGGGGCGTGGTCATCTGAGGCCGCGTGGCCGGTCAGTGGTGGGGCCAGTCGGCCTCGGCTGCCAGCCTGGCTCCAGCAGGAAATGATATATAGCGAAGAGGAGGGGCGCCCGGCCGGCCCAGTCAGTGGGGCGGGCGGCTGGATGTCAGGGTCGGGACCTGAACCCCTGTGCTGGGCATGGAGCCCACTTAAAAAAATAGTTACAAAAAAGGTTAAAAACCCTGAGCCACTGTTGTGTGCCAGGCTGAGATAGCCTTGCGATAGCTTCGTTTATGTCGCGGCTCGGAGGGGCAAGGCCAGCCCACGTCTCCGAGACAGGGGCGTTTGGAGCCGGGCACAGCCGGGTGTGGGGCCTGCCCTTGGCCGCTTCCTGGCCGCGAGACCCTGTGCTGAGCCTTTGGGAAGTGGCGGTCCTGGGGGTTTCAAAGTATATCCCCCGATTCTTCGAGGTTCCTCCCTTCAAAGAGCAGAGCCCGAATTCCCTTCCCGCGAGTGTGGGCCGGACTCCGTGACCCGCTCCTAGTGAGCACTGCATGACGGAATGATGGCCTGTCGCTCTGAGGGCAGCTCCTTTCCCGCTTTTCTGGATCCCTCGCTTTGGGGAGGGCGGTGCCGCGTTGTGCGGGTGCTCAGTGTCGGGGTGGGG